TTTCATAAGCTCGCATAGAAAAAAAAAATATAACTACAATCGTTATCTTTCTCACAGTTTTGTTATATTTTTTAAACATTTTATTTAATAAAAAAGTAATCACTTTAAAATAATCTATTGTAATTAGCTAAATTCAATTTTTGTTATAAAAGTATAATAGAAGAATATAACAGAAGAAAAATATTAACGTTTTATATTTTAATATAAAAGAATAAAATAATATTTGATTTTGATATCATTATATCAGATTTTTTAATGCTATTTATTTTAAATATTATGATTTTCCGAGTCGAGGTATTATAATTTAAAGAAATATCTGATATTTTTTCTATTTTACGGGACAGTCATCAATTTTCGAGATAAAATCAATTTTATGCTTGTAATTAGTCAACGATATCTTGCCAATCATCTGCGATTTGTAATTTTGTACTTATTGAAAGGAATTTTGAATAAGTAAACCTGAATAAATAAAATTAATTAACGTAAAAAATTTTGTCGTAATATTAGATATTTTTAAATATACTTAGATATTTTTTTAAATATAATTAATACAGTTAGTCGTTATTTTTATTGGATTATATTTGTATGTATTACAGATTAATGTTATACGTATTACAACTTCGCTGTTGCGCATCGAGTGTAACGTGACAGAAACAACTTATAAGGAGGTAAAAGAGAATTTGAGGAGAGGAGAAGGAGGTCTAGGAGAGACATCGGGTGCCGGTGAAGCAACTTTGCGGTAAGCATTATTACTTATAATACTTGCGTAAAATTAATCGAATTTTTTTTCTCATTTATTTTTATTACTTTATTTCGATGATTAAAAATAATAATTGAGGACTTGTTGCAACTGTGGCAATAGTTAATTAACAATATCTTCGTTGTTACAAAATATAAGTTAATCCACTGTTGTAGCATGCTTTTCAAGAGAAAAAGAATTAATTTGAAAATTTATGAAAGCACCTTATTTTTATAAAGATCTTTTGTGAAAGATACACGGAGAGAATTTTTTTTTAATTTACCCTGCAAATCATGTTAATTATGGGACAATATAGTATTTAGGCAGATTTTACTGTATGCATTACAATAAGATTTCGCAGTAAAATTTATTGTAGTGCACAGTAAAATTTACCTAAATACTTTATTGTCTCACAATTAATATGATTTTCAGGGTAAATTTTAAAAGAAAATTCTCTCCGTGTATGTATAATTATTTTAACAGATATTTAATTAAAATGTGATAAGAAATTTTATGCATGTAAAAATTATCTTTTAAATTATTGATTATTTTAATTAGATTTTAATTTAGATCTTATATTTGTATGTTACAGAATCATCGTAGCTAGTCTGATAATTTCACTGTTACGCATCGGTCGGTGAGTGACAAAAAATTTTATTAATGAAATAATAAATCTGTGAAAATTGAATCAGATGTAACTTCTGTATCGTATATAATTATTATTATTATATATATTAGAAATATAATAAATTTGTTATTTTAAAGATGAGCTCTAAAGAAATATGACAGATTATTTTATCTTGAACTCGTTTTTCATATGTATTAATTTAGTGTGCTATTGTACTTAAGGTATTTATATAAAAATACATATAGAAAGAAAATACGAAATAAAAATTCAATCGTTCTTTAGCTATGAAAATAATATTAATAGAATTGAAATAAAAACGTTTTAACGTTTTAACGTTATTAAACTATTATTTGTTTAACTAGATTAAAAATGATTAAATTTTAAAATTATAAAATATATCATAGAGTAAAGTTTTTTTTTTTTAGAAAAAAAATACTTATGTCTATAGTTTAAAGCTTAATAAAAATAAATAATGTTTTATATATTCATATAAGAAAAAGATTTTGTTATATTAAAATTGCAGAATAAAGAGAAATAAAGTTCGATTGCAAATAAAGTATCGACAATTAAAAAATATTTCTATAAATACCTTTTGCAGACAAAAGATTAGTGTAAGATATTCATATATGTGAAATAAAAAATAAAAATAAAGAATTATCTATTGATAGATAAAACATTATTAAATGAATTAAATACATATTCTTCTTAACTTCCAAATTTTGCCAAATTTTGTACAAGATTAAATATTTTACAAGTTGATACATAAAAAGCAATGTGAACGTCTATAAATATTTTTAAAATTTTATAAACAGAAGCATTCTTTTTTATAGATCAAAAACTATATCAGTAATGCTATATGTTGCATCTGATTCATATACACATAATATTGCATTTTATATAACATGATAAATATGATTAAACAAATTTTAATTCTTATGAAATGCTAATTTTAACATAAATATTTTATACCTTGCTCACTTAATTTATTGAATCAAGTTTCAAAATTTGTCGCCTGCTTCCTCAGGGACTCACATTGATGAGTACGGGAGTTGGCGTTCCCGAGATACCCGAGCCATTTATGTTGCGTTTTACTTGGCACTTCGTAACGATTTTACAATCATTTTATTCCAATTATTTATCAAATATTGTAAATAACGCTCTCAGCGTTGCGAAAATCAAGTAAAACGCACTCCAAACAAGTTTAATCATATTTTCATTGAAATATTACAACCTTAAACTATAGATAAGAGGACACGCGTTTCAATAATTTAATTAACATACGCATTTATAAATATACACACGGTTTGAAATAGTTGAGAACATTTTTAATCGTTGATTCTTTCTGTGCTTTTGCAAGCAATTGCCATGAGATATAAATAAGAAAATTTAAAAAAATAAATAAATAATAGAGGAATCAATTTTACTGTAGTTCCTCTGTATTAGAATTAGAGATTAAGAAATATGTTCGAACGGTGAAAAATAATAACAATCGTTATA